AAAGATGGCATTTTCTTCTATCCTCCTGGTGGCATTTAAGTCATTAATCCAATTGCAATGTACATTTATACATTATGTAAAGTAAATGAATTTCCAATGAAATATCTTTTTTAAACATAAAATGATTAAGCCAGGTGTGGAAGTGCACACCTGTAATCCCAGCACTTGGGAGGATGAGGCAGGAGGATCTCTGTGAGTTCAAAACCAGCCTGGGCTACATAGTGAGTTCCAGATCAGTCTCAATTAAATAGTGAGACCCTGTCTCAAAAAAACAAAACAACAAAAAAAAGCTTAGCCTTTTAATCCATGTAGGTAAAAGCAGTAATTTTCACACTATACCTAAGTAAAAATAAATGTAATACATTTTCCATGTTATGATAAAACAAACATTCATATCCAATGAAAGAGTAAACATTTTGGTGTTGTAATTAGAAGGAAATGGGAAGTGTGATTTACAGAATGTCTACGATATGCCTGCCACACACTGTGATGAAGCACATTAGGAATTTCATTTAATCTGTAGGAAAGTGAGATTCAGAAAGAATAATAACTAATCCCTAAAGACACTTAGCTGAAAAAATAAAGCAACTAGTCAGAAACTAGTTCCTTCTGACTTTAAAGTGCATATTATTTCTATTTTGAAATGCATAAATCTTACATGTCTAAGGGATGCATGATTATATTTAGTTGTCTATGTTGTCTTTTTCCAAATGCTAAGTCACCCATTTGATGTATTAGATGGCTATTATTATTATCATCATGTATTTAAGCACAGAAACTGAGGAAAATGGTAGTATGAGTGGCCTTGTATTTCTGGGTAAGTTAAAATCTAGAAAATGTATTATCATCTTTTATAACTCAGTTTTCTGAATTTCACTTGATCTTAGACAAAAGGCCTTGAAGCAATTAGTTTTCTGAATTTCTAGTCTGGAATTTAGTAAAAATATGAACATGAAGCACACAAAATCTCTGGGCATTGGAGATTTTTGTCCTTTTAGTTTTTACCCACTCATCAAGAATGTTAAGTCCTGAAAAACAAAATGCTTCGTGAAATAAATAACACAATCAAAGTATAAAGTTAATTCCATTCATTGCTTTCGGGTATAGGCAAACAGAAATATTTATGTTAATATTATGCATACAAATTTTTCTATTATTTCTATATAGCTACAAAAAGCTTATGTGCACTTTAGTGCCCAAAAAAGTGTGACCAATTATGCTTGGCAAATCCCAGTTGATTTCCACATTCACCAGATAAGAGGAAACCACAGCAGACACAATTGCAGAAATGATAGAAATTAAACTCCATACCTATATTCCAAAGCAGGGAAATGGTTAACTGAATAAGCAGGGGCTACACCTTAGATTCTTTTAAAAATGTTTTCTATTAGTGCATGTTTGTAATAAATAACAGTTACTTCATTTGATTGAAGGAACTGGTACATGTATATAGCATATATTCATCATTTTTATTCATTTGCCTTCATTCCTACCTTCACCTTCCACAGAAACCACACAAACACACGGATATTTAATAACACACTCCTAAATAATCAGGGTCTGTGGGACACAATAAAAGCAGTTCTAAGAGGAAAATTTATAGCTGTGAGTGCCTATACTAGAAAACCAGAGTAATCCCAAATAAATAGCTTTAATGATGCATCTCAAGGTCCTAGAAAAACAATAACAATTCAAACCCAAAACTAGTAGGTGGAAAGAAATTATAAAGATCAGACTGGAAATCAATGAAATTGAGACTAAAAAAATAAAAGATTAATGAATCCAAAAGTCAGTTTTTTTGAGAGTATAAATAAGATTGCTAAAGCTTACCAAAAGATATAGAGAAAATAGCCACATCAAAATAATTAAAAATGAGAAAGGCAAAATTATAATAGGCACCACTGAATTCCAGAGAATTATCAGAAAATATTTTGAAAACTTACACTCCAATAAATTGTAGAATCTGGAGGAAATGGGTAAATTTCTAGACGTATATGTCAAACCAACATTGAACCAAGAATATATAAATACCCTGAACAGACAAATAACAAGCACTAAAACCAATGCATTAATAAAAACCACCAACTAATAAAAACTCAGAAACAATGGATTCAGTACTGAATTTTACCAAATTTTAGAGAACTAATGTCAATAATCTTCAAACTTCTCCATGTAATTTCAAGGGAAGAGATGCTTCCAAACTCATTCCTGAAGCCACAGATGCAAAAATCCTCAATAAAATACTTGCAAAGAGATTTAAAATGTTAAAACAATCACACCCTATGACCAAGTCAGCTTCATTTTAAGAATGTAAAGATAGTTCAGCATACGTAAATAAATATAACACACCACATAAATAAAATGAAAGTCACACAATAATCTCAATATATGCAAAAAAATCCTTTGACAATATCCAGTCTCCCTTTATGACAAAAAAAATCCAGATAAAATAGGTATAGAAGGATCTTACTTCAAACTAATAAAAGCTATACACAAATGTGACAAACCCACAGCCAACATCATACCAAAAAGGGAAAAACAGAAAGCATTCCCTCTAAAATCAGGAATAAGACAAGGGTGTCCATTATATTACTCAAAACTGTACCCAGAGCAATCAGGCAAGAAAAAGAAATATGAACAGAAAAGGAAGAAGTTAAATTATCCTTATTTGCATATGATATGATCTTATCTGTAGGAGGAGGTTTAAAAAAAACACGCACACCAAAAGACTCTTAGAGCTGATAAACAAATACTTTTTTTTTTTTTTTTTGGTACCAGGGATTGAACTCAGGTCCTTGAGTTTGCAAGGCAGGCCATGGAATCACTGGGCTAAATCCCCGGCCCTGATAAACAAATTCTAATCCTAAGCAAAAAGAGCAAAGCAGGAGACATCACAATTCTGGATTCCAACTTACACTACAAAGCTATAGTAACAAACAAAAACAGCATAGTACTAGAACAAAAATAGACACATAGATGGGTGGAATCAAAAATACTACAAAGACACAGAAACAACCCATGGAGCTTTTAGGCATTTGACTTTTAACAAAAGGGCCAAAAACATATGTTGGGGAAAAAAAGACGGCCTCTTTAACAAATAAATGGTCCTGGGAAAACTTCTGCACAGCAGAAGACTGAAATTAGACCCATATCTGTCACCCCGTACTAAAATGAAATAAAAATGCAGTAAAGATTTACAAATAAACATCAGAAACACTGAAACTGCTCCACTGGAAGATAATTAGGGTAAACACTGAAAGTCATAAGCACGGGACTGTCATGCGGCAAAAGAGGGAGAATCCACATTGACTGAACAAGGGCTATGTGCCAAGCATTTTTGTAGATGCTTAGAAGCATAACCTTATTTACTTCCTACCTCAACTCCAGGAAGAATATATTATTCTGCTCATTTTATTGATTTGGAAACAGACTCCTAGTGAGGTCATATAAATTGCCATGGTCACGGCAAGGTTTAGCTCCCACCTTTTTTTTTCTTTGCATAACGCTGGGGTAATTTTCTGTTTAATCCTGAAAACAATAGACTTGCCCTGTACTGAGACTACCAGTTTGATTTCTGGCTAAAGTGGAAAAGTATGTGAAGTCCTTAATAATTCCATGTTTAATTTTATTTGTGGGCCCTACTACAGCAAATATAATCTACCAACACTATTTCTAGTCCCAGTAAATTACTGCATTAAATACACAATTCCAAATAATTAGTGTGCTTGATGAGCAAATTTTCCCATTGTATTAAATGAAAACAACTCTCAACCACCTGTTTTATTTATTTATTTATTTATTTTTGGTACCAGGGACAGAACTTGGGACCTTGCGCTTGCCAGGCAGGCAGTGGAACCACTGAGCTAAATACCCAACCCCTCAACCACTTGTTTTAAACTAATGAAGTTTAAATAATTGCCCCATGTTCCACGGGTGATATTGACTACCTAATGCTACTCCGAAATATTGTGTATGAATTCCAGTTTAGAAGGACAACATAAAGAAAATGGAAATGCATCAAATTGAACCTAGAGAATTACACTCCATGAAAGAAAAGCCACAGAATGGTCGTAAGTTAGAATTGTAAGAGAGCTGATAAACAAATACTTTTTTTCTTACAGTTAGCATTCATGCAGGAAGTTCCATCTTTAAGATGTCAGATTCAATATCTGCAAATAAAAATAACTTGTAATTGTCAGGAAAATGGTTATTCTTGGAAAGCTTTAGTGATTAGAATGAGTCACAAGAGGGTTATCTAGGGTGTCAATAAAGTTCTGCTCTATGATCTAAGTACTAGTGCCTAGTGGCATATAGTTTTTGTTTACATATTATAGCTCAATAAAAGTTTCTAAGCAATGACTTTTAACAGTGAAGACTAAAAATGTGGCATGTCTTTTAAATAGAGATTTTTGTAATTTTCTTTAAAAAAATTTTTAGAGAGAGGGAGAGGGAGAGGGAAGACCTTCAGTGTAATATCTATTCTTTTATAAAAGAAAGACAAGGGCTAGGGATGTAGCTCAGTAATGCCATGCCTCCCTGGCAAGAGCAAGGTCGTGAGTTTGATTCCCAGTACTGAAACAAAAAAAGACAATGAAAATGTTTTAAAATTCTTTCTAAAAGCAAAGAAGAGAAATTCCTCTTAGTTCTAGTAGTTCATAAACATTTGACCTAGGAAAAGGAGTGAGCTATCCTCATATACATCAACTCCTTGAAAGTCTCCTTTCTCCTGCATATGAACAAACATATAGACAAACTTACACACTCCAACCCAGGCTTAAAAATACATCTTCATCATTTTAAAACATTACTTATGCACTGGCATTTCTAAAGGTTAACTGTGGAGTCATTTTCATTAGCATCATAGTTGACACACAAAAATTGTTTTTAAGGTTACTGTTGATCCATGAAATCATTATATTTAAACTTGACTATTTTAACACCAAATTCTATTTAAAGCCTATTAGAAAATACTGAAAACAAACATACTTAACTTCAACAGAGTCTGGTAGTTCTCAAATTTTAGAAATCCTAATGATCATCTGGAATATTTGTCAAAATGGAGTTTCCAACTTTGCAATAGAGACTCTGATTCAGTATATTTGCAGGGATGGTCCCAGAAATCTATGCTTAAAAAAAAAAAGAAAGAAATCTATGCTTTTACAAGCATGTTAGGTAATGCTAAAGCAGACTGGCAGTAGGCCACACCTTGAGAAATGCTAACATGTGGTTAATACCAGACATTAACAAGTTCCAGCCAAATTCTACATAGGTTTCGAAGAGATCACAATTCAAGCAGTGCACACCTAAAGAACCATACAGTTTTCATCCTGGACCTCTACCAATGATTCACACCAGACCAGGATAAAGCCTGGGGAAAGGCATCACAGGATAGGTGAGTGCAACATGTTTTCTTGATGAGTTTTTATATGATGTACTTGGCTGAAGTTTCCTACATTTATAACCTTTATTCCATTACTTTCACAAATTGTGGTTTTATGAAACACAAAGGCTTATGCCAGGGGTACAATTCAGTAAACTTTATGACACGCTGACCCATGATTAGCTAAGGCCCAACAAAGGTTTTGACTACCTCGCAGGCAAACTCCCAAACTAGAGACAAGTCTCATCGACAGGTGTTGTGATTCCACCTGTCACAACAAGGGCACACAATCTGGAGTATCACATGTTTTCGGTTACACAGTGGCTTTTTCATTTTTCTGAAACTCACAGCCTCAGCACACCAGAAGATGCAGCTACACTGTTTTTCCTCTTTTTCAGGCAATCTTCTTCTGTTATCATCTTGATCACTAATGAGCTTGAGTTGACTGAATCCAAAGAAAATTCAAACACAACCCAGAAACAACAAAAGTATGTCATTCTGGAATGGACAGGAAGTCTGTCTGACCTAGGCACCTGCTTCTCATGATGAGTCATGCCAGATGTTATAGGGAGAGATACAAACTTTTGTTACACATCTGCTCTATGCAGTTGTGCAATTACATATCACAAGGGAGTTTTCTTTTTCAGACAGTGGGTGGGCCATCAGTTGCAGATTAGTATTTTCAGACATCAGTCTTTGAATGCATTGCCCTCACATCCTTTCATGCACTTTCTCATAAAACACACACACATAGAGAGGGGAAAAAATATTTGTTCTCTATGCTCCTTCAACTGTGGCCCAAAGCAATTTCCTTTATAGACAACCTTTTCTGGTTTCCATTAAGGAGATGGCTGGACAGTTTGCCAAAAGAAAATGTTTGCTGGTCGCAGTAGGTAATGAGTAGAACTAACTCATATTTGCAAATAGCTTACAAATGAACAATCACTAGACTGATGTTACTGAAAGCAGGTACCAAAAAGCCCTCTGAACCATGGACAGCTAACTGAAAATATTTTAGGTAAAACTACCAAGAACTAGTAACAATTGCAGGATTTATAAGTACTAACAAATGCTTGAATTATATACTCTTGGAAAAAATCAGTAAGAACCCCAAACTGTGGTATGTTTATTCATTTGTTCAAATGATATATAGAGAGTTACTTCTCTGTGCCATTTACCAGTGTTATGTGTTGGTGAAATAATCATGAATCTTATTTTTATACAGTTTAGAAGGGGGAAATGGACAACTGGTAGTAAAATAAGTGAATAATATAACAGCAATTTGAGATAAGTTATATGAAGGAATCAGTATGGTTGTGAGAGAGAAAAATTGGAGATACTGTGGAGAGGTCAGGTATATTTGCTTTTACATGTGACATTTAAATCAAGACTAAAGGTTAAGAAAAACTAAGGCCTTGTCAAAAGCAGGAGTGTGTTCTGCATAGAGGAAAAGATAACAAGTCCTGTAGGTAGTTTGGTATGTTTTAGAAACTGAAAGGAAATCAGTATGCCTAGAATAGGCAAAAATCAGATCTTGGTGGACTTTGTTGGGTATTGTAAGGAATTTGGTCTCTAGTATAAATGAGATGGAAAGCCAAATATACAACTGTTTGTGCATTTTTAAAATATCACACTGGATCCACCAGACAGAATGCAACGGGGAAAGTAGAGCGTGGGAAACCTGTTAGAACACTGACCATCTTTAAAATATACATGGATATGTAGAGAATCTTGTTAAAATACAGGCTATGGTTCATTCACTAGGTCCAAAGTGGGACACAAGATTCTGAATTTCTCACAATTTCTCAAGCGATTCAGATGGACCACACTGATTATCAAAGTATAAAAATACCACTGAAGAAGTCCAGATTCTTTTCTTCCAAGTTATTGGTTTAAGCAGCCATGGTGAATGAGGACAATTTGAAAGATTTGAGATATACATCACAGTTAGACCTAATAATTTCTACATAGCATATCTCATAAGATCATAGCATTATATGTCATAGGGCCAATGTAACCAAAATTTCTGAAAGTTAAAGGGTATCCTGGAAGTTCTGGTCTCAGAACCAGTTCTGATGTAGGTAACAGCTGAGGAATGAAAGGCACCAATATGAACTTTCTATGAATATGACAGAACTTTGCTTGGGGAGTAGGAAAAATGTCAAGGTGGTAGTGGATGGATTAAAATGTTGCCCGGACTGATCCTGTTTGTGCTATCCGCAGCTTGTTTGTGAGATCACACAGTCACACAGGAATCTTGAAACTCAAAGTCTAAAAGCTTAGTTCTGCAACATTTTAATTGTATATCTTTGAATAAAAATCACCAACCTCATATTCCAGGTTCCTCATTTAATAGAATGTGATATAATGAGATCATGCATATGAAATATTTAGCATAGTAGCCATCTCAAGATGTTATTAAGAAATACCAGTCAAGTCACATATATGTATTTATATGGGGGATGAGGGGGTTGCTTCTTCTGACACAGTAAAAAGAAAATCATCTGTTAGCTGTGGAAGGGAGTGATTCACATCCTGGACTATGTTCCTATGTATCTTATATTATTTCTGTATCTGAAAAAGATGTTTTCTGACACCATCAGAAACACTAGGCCAATCAAAAATATCATCTTTAAATGCAACAATGGTCCACACTTTAAAAAATGTTATAAGGCAATTTCTCATTAAATGTAACATAGGTAAATGGGTTAAAATAAGACCTAACGAGCTTATCCAGTCACTTTGCCATACCTGAAAGGGTCTCTAATGGTAACAGACACATCCGTTCTAGGAACTTAGGAGGCAGTTGGCAGTGCTGAGATAGGCTGCTGCAGGGTTTCGTCACAATGGCTACTGACATTTGAAAGTCTTCTGCTGTTTGTCTACATGTTATAGTCCCTGTACTAAGAAATATCTGATCTGGCTTTATCTTTCCTAGATCAATTTAAAGTCATATCTACTTTCATACTTGCAGAGGGAATAGAAAACAGCTGGTCCCCAGACTCTATAATTCAAAGCTGGTGTGAAGTTAGGCCTACTTCTGTTAAATTTCTTTTGTAATTATCCACAAATACTTGCACGCCAGCAAAGTTGCCCAAAATTTGTTTGATCTTTAAGTGGGAAGAATTGTGAGCAGTGCAAATGAGCATTATTAATTCATAGTGATGGTGGTCTTCTGAGTCATATAAAGGAAAATGTCAGCCTTTTGAAATGATTCATTCAAAACAATGGCTATCTTACTATAGCTTAATAGGACAGTAGAGGATCTACAGAGAACCTCTTTTTTTTTTCTTTTTTCTTTATTGGTACATTTTAGGTATATGTACCTCTTATTCCTCACTATCAGTTAGTTCACCATTGAACTATGTGCCTTGAATAAGCCACAATACTCTTCTCCCAAAATGCCTCACATCTACCCTAGTCAAGCTAAATGCAGTGTCTCTCTCCCCACCTGCTACCTCACTTTTCTAGAGTAATTTTTAAATCCCAAAAGAAAGTCTCCAAAATTTCTCTTGGCAATCTATTCTGGTATAAAAGACATAATAAATAGGGTCATTATTTTGCAAACTATCCTGGCAACATTTAGACCACAACCAAAATGTCATATGCAATTCTAGCCCTTCATAAAGGGCTAGAATATTTCTCACAAGCTATTTCTAAGTCCATTTCTCAACTACACTGCTTCCCTCAAATGCCTAGGCATTTCCTGTACTTCCAAATGAGCCCCTTCTCTTCTGCTCACATCCAGGTCAGCTATCAAGGAACTAAATGTTACACCATATAAATTACCCAAATCTTACAAGCCAGTCCATCCCCTTATTTCAATTCATGACAAATAACGACATGATTTTTGAGTGTCAGAGGTGAAAGATCTTTCAAAGGACCTAACAGTTAGGTATTTCTCTCTCAACTGCCCTTCTGCAGTGGCTGTACGGTCTCCCTGATTCAAGCCCTAATCCATTTAAATCTACCCAGGATGCAGATTTGATTAGGACACATGGGGTAATGGAAAAGCTGAAGGAATCGACCACTTCAAACCCACTGATCTTGTGTGATTTTCCTCACCAACCTGTAAGAACTTAAAGGCAAGGAAAAAAATCATATTCACCCCACTAATCCTACATACTAATCCCAGGCATGGTATTTAATAGGAGCGTCACACATACTTGTTGAATGAGTAAACAGGAGTTTTTCAGAATCACAGATTCCAAAAATGGTGATCAACAAAGTAGAGAAAACAGTGTAGTTGACAAAGATGCCAAATTAGATATTTTCTGCCACACCCTCTTCTTATTCCCCAGAGCAGTTGAAGTAATATCTGATATAAATAGTTTATATCACAACATCTGGCTTCATCCAGAGTTTTGAGACAACTCTCGCATCCAAAGAGCTATTCAGGGAAAAAATATTGTACTCCAATGAATTACCACTGAATGAAAGCAAGACTATTCTCTAGGTTTTAACCAGAATGGAATGAATGTTTTGTGAACATAGTTTCAATAAAATTCACTTGAGTACATGTTTTCCAGTAAAGGTATCTGAACACCAACATCTGCCTTCCTAGCCCATCTTACACACACACACACACACACACACACACACACACACACACACACACACGAGTTTTGACATTGTAAATCTTACTCAGATGTAGGGGGAGTAAGACTTACTGGCCCTTAACTGCCATTCCTCCTCAGCTCCCCTTAACTGGATCATAATCATAGTCATTACTGCTATAATGATAGTAATAATGCTTTGTGCTTCTTCAGCACTTCTCAGATGATCTCAAAGCATGACTGCATTGTGACTGTAAAATACAAGAACATTCATCTCTTCTAGAGATGGTGTTTATAATAAGAGCAAGAGCTCACAGACATGCTTGCCTTTCACAAATCAAAATTATGAGAAGGCTTGTACAGATTTGTTTCTTTTATTTGGCTAGGAATGGGTGATTTTATTAACACGGGTCAAAACAAATCTCCAGAGGGGGCCACCAAAGAAAAAAGACATATTCCTCATCCGATACTCACTAACTTTTTCAAATACATTTTATATTGTCAAATGAGAAGAATGTTCTAATGTTCCTATGGTTTAACTCTGTAAAGTGTCTTTCAAAGTGTGACAACAAATTGAACAGCTCCCCCATCTAGGGCTGGTCTCTCGGCTCAAGCCAAGCTTTCTGTGTGACTCAAATTTCTCTTCATCCCCTATTGTGTGACAGTTGCACAATTCCCCTAATATGTGCCTGCAAGCACTGCCTGGCCATTATGATGATTATCTTCCCATGATTACAAGGAATCATGTAATGAACTCCAAGAAAGAAAAGACATCCAATTTGTTCCTCATGGACACAGACCCAGCTGTGAGAAGGCTCTTCAGCCACGAGAGACCAAAGTATTTCTGCTTCAGTCTGAAGTAGAAATGTCTCTCACCCATCTATTCAAATACTTTCCATCTACCAGGAACTTATGACATGCCAGGGTAGGGCAAGGAACTGAGAACAACAATATGCAGAAAGCTGTTCTCAACTCTTGAGGGGCTCATGTTATTTGGAAGCTAGAGCTCATGAGAAAGGATAATTGGTCTCTTCACTTTTGCATTTTGACGATCCCTAAGAATTTTAGTTGCCATGTGACAGCAGAAAGATGGATTTAAAATACAGATTTTTACTCTGAAACCCTTCGAGAGATCATCACCCTCAAAATGCTACTTACATTCCAACCACCCTCTACATAGGGGTTGAAGGACCTGTTTCTCCAGTCTCGTCGCCTTCACTCTGATCCTCGTCACACAGTATACTGACTTGATTTCCTTTCTGCTTTTCTAAGATACTAAGCTTGCTCCCATCTCACAGTTATACTGCTGCTCCGTCTTGCAGTCCTCCTCCCTTACTTCATCATATAGCTGATAACCTCGTCTCATTCAGTAATACCCTCCATAGTCGCTTACTCAGTGGTGTATTCCTTGGTACTTCCTCTAAAATGTTGTCCCCAACCCACAACAGTTCAACTTTATTTCCTTAGCCCACTTCATGTTTCTCCACTGTCCTCATCCCTACTGATCCCTATATACTTACCTGCTTAATTGATCAATGTTGGTCTTCACCCAAATGTAAGCTCTCTCTGTAGAGGCAGGAATTTGGTTGTTTTCATCACTGGAACCCAAACATACAAAATAATACTTGGCATACAGAATCAGGTTAATAAATATTTGTTGATAAATAGTGGAGATTCTTTCTAGACCCATTCTTCACATAATAATGTAATAGGACCTCTTATTTGTTCCCATTACTACAGATTCTTTAAAATTTGAAGATGGGAAAAACTAAGGGGATGAGTTCTTGCCTGTTAGTTCCAGACACACTGATGTGGACTGCAAGTCATTTCCATATGCCACAGTCATCATGCACTGCCCATAATCTCAGTTCTTTCTCCTTTATATGCTATGCATTATAATTATTATTTTATTACTGGAGACAGGCTGTCCAGTCATGAGGATGCCGCCTTCATTGATGTGGGTTGTCCTATTAGCATAAATAGAGCTGAAAACTGTACCTCTTTCTCTTTACCTCTGTTCCCTCTGTTTCCTTCAGAAAGAGTAACTTTGATGCCTTTACATGTCACAAGAAAGTTTTTTCAAGAGAGTAGTAACAGAAACCAGACTGTTTTTATATAGTTTCATGTCAGTCTCATTGTCTTAGTCACTTTGCTCCTTGCTGAGACACAATACCCTGCACCCACAATTTAAAGGAGGAAAGGTTTATCTCCCTTATATTTTTAGTCCATGGTCAGCTGGCTCCAGTGCACAAAAGACTCTGCCACAGAGGAAAGTTGCTCACATCATGGTGGACAGGAAGTAGAGAAGGCAGGAGCCAGGGAGAGAGATATACCCTTTCAGGTCACACTGTCAGTGACCCACCTCTCTGAACAGGATTCACCTCCTCACAACATCCCAGCTGTGAACCCAACAGTGGGCCAATCTGTTAGGCAAGTAGTTAGACATTAGCAGGCCCGAGGGACAAAGAGAAAAGACATCCCAAATAGCCTACTTTGCCAGTTAAGAAAAGAAACAAAGACTTCAATGTGAAGTCTGTAATCATTTCTTGGGTTTCAGACCTGAAAGCCAGTTCAGGGGCAAAATGATACTTCAAGGTTATATGTCATACACATTCCTTCTGATAACGGGCCACTTAGCCATCTAGTTCCATGATAAGATAAAGCAACACTTGCATAGCCTACAATCTAATGACATCTGGAACAGAAATATCCCTTAAGACTTTCCTGCCTTGGGCTAGGACCTGATTTAAATTAATTTATCTTTCCTAAATTTATTTCCCCTACAAAGTCTTAGGACATTAATAAAATGCAGCTAAACTTTCTACCAGAACCTAACAAATATGCAATTGTTTATAGTCCCTCACATCAAAGATGCCTTATTTTTTTTAAAAAAAGAGCCAACAATAGGAAAATAATGTGACAAGTATAAGTCAATACATATCAGTTATAATGATCAATGTTAATGGCCTCAATTTATGAATCAAAATAAATAGCCTAGCAGAACTGATTAAGAAGCAAAATCCAGCAATATGCTGTATACAAGAAACACACTTAATTCAAAAAGAAACTCATAGACTTAAAGTTAAAGGGTGGAAAACAGTTCTCCATGTGACAGGAACATGGAAAAAATCAGGGGTAGCTATCTTATTTGCAGACAAAGTAGATTTCAAACCAAACCTAAGAGACAAAAAGAAAGTCACTCCATACTTCTAAAAGGAACAATCCAAGAGGAAGAGATGACAACCGTAAGTATGTATTCACTAAATACTAATGCCCCCAACTATACAAAACAAATATTAATACATATGAAAGATCAAATAAGCATTAATACAATTGTAGTGAGGGGCCTCAATACCCCACTGTCACAAATAGATCATCTAGACAAAAGATCAACAACAAAATACTAGAAGTGAACCAAACCTTTGAAAAAATGGACTCAATAAATGTCTACAGAGTGTTTCACCCCACAAAATCAGAATATACATTCATTTCAACCACACATGGTTCATTCTCCAATATAGACCACATGCTAGCTCATAGAACATGTCTAAGTATATGCAAAGGAATTAAAGTTATCCCCTGTATATTATCAGACCATAGTTCAATTAAATTGGAGATCAATAGCATAAGAAACTGCAAGAACTTCACAAACTCATGGAAATTAAACAATACTCTCCTGAACAACCAGTGGGTCACAGAGGAAATTAAAGAAAAAATTAACGGTTTACAATTAAATTATAATGTCAATACAACATACAGGAATCCGTGGGACACAATGAAAGCAGTTCTACAAGGGAAATTCATAGCAGTGAATACTCATACAAGGAAAACAGAGCAAGGTCAAATAAACAACCTAATGCTGAACCTCAAGCTACTAGAAAAAGAAGAGCAAGACAAACCCAAAACTCATACAAGGGAGGAAATTATAAAGATCAGATCAGAAATCAATGCAAAGGAGACTAAGAGAATAATACAAAAATCGAGTCAAAGAGTTGGTTCTTTGAAAGAACAAATAAAATTGATAAACTCTTAGCCAACTTTAAAAATAAAAAGGGAAGAAAAGGCTCAAATCCAAGCAATTAGGAATGAAAAAGGTGAAGTCACAACAGATCCAACAGAAACCCAAAGGATTATCAATACCTATTCTGAGAAACTGTACTCTAATAAAATGGAAAACACAGAAGAAATGGACAGATTCCTACATACATTTGAATTACCAAAATTGAATGAAGAAGATATAAAAATTCTAAACACCCCAATTACAATCAGTGAAATTGAAAATGTAGTTAAAAATTTACCAACAAAGAAAAGCCCAGGTCCTCCTGACTTCACTGCTGAATTCTAAAAGACATTTAGAAAAGAACTATTGTCATTACTCTTTAAACTCTTCAATTGAAATTGAAAGGGAAGCAATAGTTTCAAATTCATTCCTGGAAGCAAGTGTTACTTTGATCCCAAAAGCAAAGAAAGACCCAACTAAAAAAGAGAACAAAAGTCCAATCCCCCTAATGAACATAGATGCAAAAATCCTCAATAAGTTACTGGCAAACAGAATACAGAGGGTCATCAAGAAGATCATACATCCTGATCAAGTGGGATTTATCCCAGGGGTGCAAGGATGGTTTGACATAGGTAAATCAATAAATGTCATATGCTATATTAACAGAGCCAAGGTCAAAAACTATATGATCATATGAATAGATGCAGAAAAAGCAGTCCACACCCATTCACGATAAAACGACCTTACAGAAAATCAGAATAGATGGTCTTTATCTCAACCTCTTAAAGGCTGTCTATGAAAAACCAACAGCCAAAATCATACTAAATGGTAAAAAAACTGAAAACCTTCATGCTAAAATCAGGAACAAGACAAGGATGTCCACTATCACCACTCCTGTTCAATGTAATTCTGGAAATATTAGCCCAACAATTAGACAAGAGAAATAAATAAAAGGAATAAAAATAGGAAAGGAAGAAGTTAAACTGTCATTATAGGCTGATGACATAACACTTTACATAGAAGACGCAAAAAACTCCACCAAAAGACTTCTACTCTTAATTGATAGATTAAGTAGAGCAGCAGTATATAAGGTCAACACTCAAAAATCAATATCCTTCTTGTACACAAGTAACAGACTCATTGAAAGAGAAATTAGGAAAATAATTCCTTTCACAGTAACATTTAAAAAATGAAATATCTAGAAATCAATCTAACAAAGGAAGCAAAAGACCTCTACATTGAAAACTACAGCACTCTGAAAAAAGAGGTCAAAGAGGATATTAGAAAATGGAAAGAAATCTCTCCTTCCTGGGTAGGAAGAACTAATATAGTGAAAATGGCCATACTTTCAAAACTGCTAGATAGATTCAATGCAATCTTGATTGAAATCCCAGAGTATATTTCATAGAATTAGAGAAAACAATCCAAAAATTCATTTGGAATCAAAGAGACCTAGAATAGCAATAACAATTCTAGGCAACATAGACATGGCAGCAGGTATCACAATCCCCAACCTGAAACTATACTATAGAGCCAGTGTGATTTTAAAAAAGAAAAAAGCATGGTACTGGCAAAGAAGCAGACCTGAGGATCAGTGGTATTGATTAGAAGATGTAGAAAAATCTCCAGACATACTCACCTACCTCATCTATTTTTTTCATTAAGTTTATTGGTACATTTAAGGTAAACAACACAGTTACATTCATCAATGGGATCTTCTGAGAAATGGATGTCTTCTGCTCTGTCTGAGAAATGTCTGTTCATTTCAGATGCCCACTTTTGAATTGGATCTTTATATTTGGGGTATCTGATTTTTTAAAAGTTCTTTATATATTCTAGATAGTAGTCTTTTGTCTGAGGAACAGCTGATAAATTTTTTTTCCCACAATGTAGGTTGTCTCTTAGATCTGTTGGTGATTTCTCTTGCAGTGCAGAAGATTGTTAAAAATATGAGAATCCAGTTGTTGATTCTTTGTGCTAGTTGCCATGCTACTGAGGTTTTGTTCATAAACACTTTTCCTATGCCAATGTCTTCGAGAGTTCTACCTAACTTATCTCCCACCAAGTTTAGTTTCTGTTTTAATACTTAGACCTTTAATCCGCTTCAATTTTAGTTTAGTGCGTGGTGAAAGATACAGGTCTAGTTTTAATCTCTGGCAGGTTGGAATCCAGTCTTTCCAAAACCATTTATTAAAGAGGCTATCTTCCCTCCAATGAGGGTGGTTGGCTCCTTTGTCAAATATGAGGGAGCTGGAAAAATATGAAACATGGAAACAAAGCAATTGTAAGTAGGGAAGGATGGAGAGAGTGGAGAGAGGGCAGGGGAATGGGGCAAAAATAAGAACAAGATCCACCACGTAAAGGTAGAAGTTCCCAAAGATGAATGTAACTGTACAGTATAACTAAAATGTACCAATCAACTAAATGAAAAAAATATGCTTAATTTTGTACTCGAGTACGTCTGAGTTCCAGTTTCTTTCTGCCGTTTCATGGTCTGATGGGCTATGTTGGATCAAGCAGCTTTCTTGAACTGTCCTTCTCCAGTGATACAGGGACAATCCCAACCTTTGTGGACAGGGGTTAGCCAGAACAGAAACA